TTGGTCAAAAGGCAGAAGCAGGGGCAAGGGAAAAGTTTGGGTCACAGCCTTCACTGGGGTTTCCACTGCAAAAGCAGCATTAAGTATAGCAAAACAGTGTAGGAGCGATTCAGGAATAAATTGGTGGGTTTGAGGTTCTAAGACTATTCTCTAGTGCTCTGACCCCTGGCTCTGGGGTGACTTAAGGTAGGGGAAATATTGGCATGGGGTATGAGAGTTTGATAAGGGAAGTGGCTAGCTTATTAGGAGAGGTGTGCTCCCAAGTAAACTGTTATCTTTAGGAACTAGCTAGTTCCTAATTAGCTAAGAGCAGTTTCTCCCTGTTCTAAACGTTATGATATTTAAACATTATAATACACAGAACATTAAAACTAGATTAATACAATGGGTGGGAGGGAGAGGTGTTATAAATATCAAAGTGTTAAATATAAAGCATTAATGGGATGATGAATTGAGGAAAGGAGTGGGGTTTGGGAGGTGGGGGAGGGCTTCAGGAAGAAGGGATTACTTCCACTTTTCCAAACAGTTGGGAGTAAACTTTGCTCAAGATCTGGAAAAGTTTGGGAAACAGTGATGGATAGATGTAAAGACTTGGGAAATTAACATTTAATGACTATCAGTCAAGCACGATGCCCTAACAGTGTCATTGCCATTCTTATACCACTTGAGGGGAGGCATAGTTTTTAGTGCTTTCTCTCCATAAGCCTGTTTTAGAGCAAACAGGCTTACAGGATTCATTGCTAACTAGTTCATCCTCTCAAGTCCAGTAAAATATGAGAGACCCATGGACTCTCCAAAGCCTCTTAACACCACATTGCCTCTAGAAAAGAAGTAGTGTATTCCTCAGCTCACAATCCATGAAATTTTTCCCACCCCCACTTTAACCCCACCTTGACAAAACAGAAGTGGCAATTTTATGGCTCAGTTACGCCCACTGGGGGAGGGGACGGTCTCACCTCCCATATTAAACCTTGAATTCTCTCCCCAACAAATCCACTTCCTATGCTTTTTGCACAGCCCTAAGACTGAAAAATAGCCGTAACGACCAAATAGAGGGAGAGCAGCCCATCCCCAGATTCAGTCTATAGGCACTTTCAGTTGCGCTGGGGTTGAATTTACACCCCTCTACGATTATTTTTCCAGTTTGGGAGAAGAGCTTTTCGCCGACACATCTGACTGATTCCCAACTCTGTTCTTACTGCAGGAACACGACTTGAATTGTCCCATTGGGTGCGAGGGACAAGCGGGACAAGGAAGGAGGGAGGGAAACGGCAGGTTTCTGGGTGGCAAAAACGAAAAGAAGCTGTAGATTGGGGTCCAAGGACAGAAAGGACTCTGAGATTTGAAGCCAGGCGCTGCGGACATCCACTGCTAAAATTCCGCAGGAGGGGCTATAGACCCAGGCAATGGATTTGGGACAAAGACTGAGAAGGGTTCCGGGCTGGTCCTATAGGAGAGCACTCAGCAGATACGAGCCGGACCTGACCGCAGCCCGCAGAGCTCACGCAGCTAGGCAGAACCGATATCCGAGAAGCTGAAGGTTCGGAAGGCGCTGGTGCCCGGCTCCAGGGGCAGGTGGGCGGAGCCTTCCCAGGAGTCACCCCCCCCGGACCCGCCCAGTGGGCGGGGCCGTCCCGGCGGTTACATAACAAACCTGCGAGAGCCGCTGGGGAGCAAACTCGGGCGGTGGCGGCGGGGGGCGGGCCCGGGGCGGGGCCAGGCCTGCACCGGCCAGGCAAGATGGCGACCATGGAGACCGAGTCGGTGTCGCTGACTCTAGAATCGCTGCCCACCGATCCCCTGCTCCTCATCTTATCCTTCTTGGACTACCGGGACCTAATCAAGTAATGGGACGACGCTCTTGACAGGGGTGGTATAATGGGGGCGAGGAGGTGGTGTGGCTGGAGGAAAGGAGGCCCATTCTAGCCAACAGGACCCGGACTCCCGCGTCAGCCAGAAGGTGACGCCAGGGCCGACCTGATCCTGCAGAACCACCCCGGGCCGGAGCGAGACGCGGGCGGAAAGTGCCGCGCCCTGAGGTCTTCCTCCTGTCCAGGGCTCTGGCCTGTGGAGCGACGAGAGTCCTGGAGGCCCTGGAGGGAAGGGGGTGGTTGGGGGGTCGCGAAGCTGCTTCACCCTGGCGCTCCCCACTGCGCCCCGCCGATCCCCGCGCCCGTCGGCTCGGCGGAACTCCAGCGGGTATGGCCCAACACTAGACACTTTGGAAAAGCTCCTTTCCAAGGCGAGCGCTCCTCTCTGCATGGGCCCCGGGCCTTCGGAGTCCAGCGCTTGAGCGGGCAGGTGTGGCGCGGGAGAGAAAACAACCGCGAGACCTCCTGACCCCCAGGTGCGACTTCCGGTACATTAGTATCGTTGTCGGGGAGCTTTCGGATATCTGTGACTGATAATTGTTTATGGTTGATAATTGTTTCGCTTCAGCCTTCCTCTTCATGGTTGCATGTTGGATTTTGTGTTTTGGTACTGACTTCCGGTGGTAAGATACAGGTGACTGTCTTCTTTCCTTGGGATTTCACGTGTTGCGAGTTATCTGTTCCAAAAATAAACACCGGTTGCTGGTTAGAGTAGTTAAATGCCCAGTTTTTTCCAGCGCTTGGAACTGTCTGGTTTGATGGAAGAAATGGCGTTGTTTACACCTTTGACAGTTGGTGGCATGGCTCTTTTGCCACCTCGTGTATTTGCAGAGGCAGTGAAATTGCCCTCTTCGGGATGCATAGGCGAGATTTGTTTTTGGTATTAACCATGGGATTTTAGCCACTTGGTGGTTGTGCCGTGTTGCCAGGTATTCTTTTGGAGATACAGAATTCTTGGAGTTACTGACAGCTCTTGATTGGTCTAGCTAAGTGATGACAGAGGACAGCTCCAGTTTTTTTTTGCTCCTATTTATGTACTTATAACACTCTTATTTTTCTAGAAAATATTTTTTTCCCTACTCAGACCTGTATTGATGCAGAGAAATAAAAGTTTCTTTTCTTTGGGAAAGGCTGTTCCAACTGCAGGCAGTTTTCATCTGAAATATTCTGTTGCTGTAGACACCAAATACCCTTTTGGTCTCTGGGCTACATTGCTACAAGAATCATCTTTCTAAGACAGATAGGCTATCATTGCCCTTCAAAACCTTTGATGTCGCTTGTTGTTTACAACTATACACTTCTGGGAGCATTTAAAGCACCCTTATTATTTAGAACAGTCTTCTTCACCTAAATCAAAACTCTATCAGCATATCATACACTTGTGTTTTTTTGTTCCCGCACCTGAAGCTCTTGACCCTGGAATGCTTTGCCTCTTCTCAACCTGGTAAGGTGGAATTCCTTTAAGATCACTTTTCCTGATTTCTCTCTCTACCTTGCTGTGCAGCGTTCATTTGTCAGGCTAGATAGATTGTACACTTCTTGAATGTAAAGCTTTTATTTATCTTTTTATTCATCATTTAGTCAACAAGTTTTTTTTTTTTTTTTTTTGAGTGCCTGCTGTATGCCAACCTATTAAATGTTAGGGATACAGTAGTGAGCAAGAGATAAGGCCCCTTTAGTGGTGCTTATAATCTAGAAAGCAAGATGAGAGAAACAAATCATAATTATAAGAGGTCCTACTGGCTGTGAAGGAAATAAACCAACTGTTTTTTGTTAAGGAATGAGGAAGGATTGATTTAATTTGGAAGGAGTTGCTATAGATGAAGGACAGCACAGTCGAGTCCTGGCAGGGGCAAGTATATTCAGAAGCTGGTGGCCATTGCAGGAGCTAGAAGACTAGAGTTGCAGGAGATGGGAAGTGACTCACAGGCAGAATGGTTTGAGAAGAGACTGGTGAGATCATATTGGACTATAGGAGCCAACGTGAGAAGGTCAGGTTTTATTTTAAATACTTCAGGTAGTAGTCAAAGTTTTGAACAGAAATGACATAGTTCCATCCATAAATCGTTGTGAAAGTAAACTGATACTACACTTGATTGTAGCCAAAAGACTGAGAAGTGATGCATGAAAGTAATCTGAGTTGAATAGTGTCAGTCAGGGTTCTTGAGAGAAAAAGAACCAATATGGTGTGAGTGTGGTGTGTTGCAGACACATCAATATAAGGTTTTGGGTCATGAATGATGGAGACTGACAAGTTCTATGATCCGCCACCTGCAAGGCAGAGCCTCAAGAATGTCATTGGTATAATTGAAAGGGCTTAGAGCTGGAGTGCCAACGTTCCAGATTTCAGTCTGAATATCAGGATCTGAAGTCCTGAGAACCGAGGGCACTAAGGGCGGAGGAGAAGCTCAGCTCATTCAGACAGGGCGCAAATTCAGCAAGCTTTTTGTTTTAAGTAGTTCCTCAGGGGCCTGGGTAATGTCCATCCATGTGGGGGAGCTCATCTGTTTAACTAGTCTACAAATTCTGATGCTAATCTTTTTCAGAAACACTCTCACAGCACGCCTGCCCTGAAATGCTTATTGGCCTAGGCACATAATATACACATCACAAATACTTCAGAATTTCATTCATAGAAAAGTTTCTAGTATACTACAACTTCTTTCTTGTGTCATGCAACCATCTTTACCAAAGGCCTAGTCCTTTGCTAAGCCCTTGGTTTGGAACACATATTTGCTGAACTGGTTTGGGTTGATTGGATTAGTCTGCTGGTATCATTGTATATCAGCTGCAGTGTTTGAACCTGAGATTGCATGATGTCTTCTGTTTCAGATTTTGGTGTTGTATTCTATTCATCGTGTGTGTGTGTGTGTGTGTGTGTGTGTGTATGTGAACACTACTCATTCGTAACCCTCTGCATATCAGAATTAGTTTGTACTTTTTAAACACGCAGGCTTTAGGTACACATCTCAGCCCCAAGCCAACTGAGTCAGAATGTCTGCAACAGTAATTTTCAGCTTTAATGTGCATCAAAGTCACCTTTGCTTATTCCAGAGATTCTTTCATGTTAATTAACTCTTGGGACAGTGGAAGGAAAGAGATCAAGAAAAGAGGGAATGGACTCTCAATTCACAAAACTGAAGGGATTCCTATTTTTTGCAAACATTTGGGCATCTTTTGAATTTTTCAGAAAAGAGTGAGCATGATGTTTTTGTAAAATCTGAAAACCAAAGGCTATTCTGTTTGCCATCGATTTTAACATGTTCCAGTCGTGTCCTTGACAAACCCTATGTGATTAAGATTATATTTATTGATTAGTTATTATCCATGTGAGATCTTTGAAAACTTACTTTCTGTAACTTGTGATTCCTCTTAAAAGGATAGAAATCTATTTTCCTAATCTTAGGTTTATTCTTTTTGCAAGTCATTTATGTTGGATAGGATTTGTAGGACTGGAGTACTATTTTATTAGAAATCTCTAAATAGCTAGAAAATTATATGCATACAAGAATTGGGGTACAGGCCAGAGTGTGTGGGGGGGTGAGAGGATTTACCAGAGAAAAGAGTGGGGAGCAGAACAAGCAGCTCAACTGAAATATACTGCCGAGGGGAACAGCAGGCAGGTCAGGAGAGATCTGCTGTGCCATGTGGGTCACTTCCCTGACCAGGGATTGAACTCGTGCTGCAGTGGCTTTGGACAGCTTTACTGTGCTGTGCTTTAACCTGTTGTACCACCAGGGAGCCTACGGTCGTATTTTTAAGCAGCTGCTACTAATTTGAATAGCTATAGATACTGAATCAGAACTGTTATGAATCACACACCTTCTATAGGTGGGCTTGCCAGTTGTTATAATTAAAAGTTGTTTGGGACTGCAATATTTCGTTAAGAAAAAATTTTAGAAATTTTATTTGTTATAAAATTTCTCATAGATCTTAAGAAAAATTGCTTTGTTTATACCAGAATGGTATTTATTCCTACATGTAGAAATAATGTATCAGTAACATAGGAAAGCTCTTTGATTTGAAATTAATTTGAGTGGATTATGTTTTATAAAGTTGCATATGAAAGTTACAGTGGTAGAGTTTTGGGTAGTTATTTGGGGAGTTATTTTTCTTAAAAAAGTTAAGACTTCACTACTCATATGCTAACATTGTTAAATAAGTTTTAGAAGCTGTGCTTTATAATTATAAAGACAGAAAATAGAGGTAAAAATAAAGCTTATCATTGAATATTTTCATCTTTATTTTAAAATTGCTTTCTTATTTCCTTTTACTACCTGTGAATCTGGTTACTGCCAGTTGTTGCTATGTCAGTCGAAGACTTAGCCAGCTATCAAGTCATGATCCACTGTGGAGAAGACATTGCAAAAAATACTGGCTGATATCTGAGTGAGTATTCAGAGTATGCATTCTTGACATGTGGCTTTTAGCTTCTATAATGCTAGTTTGTCTTGACTCTCCCTCTAACTCCTGTCTCTTTATTTCCTTTGATGGTTCCTGTGTCTGATAGTGAACACCAGTGAATAGTGGTGTTCCCCAAGCTGATATCCTTGGTCCAGGCCCTTATGAATTCTCCTGCATGCACTACTGTGGCTTCCTGTGAATACTTGTGTGCTCCTAACTCCCAAGCTTAAATGTCTGTCCCTGACCACTGAGCTCCAGACTTGTTCGCACAATGATCTACTTGACCTTTCTGTGAACAAGGGTTCACTGAATTCAATAAATGTTACTTACTTTGACAGAATAAAAGTATAGATGACAGAAGGTAGGAGTTCAGAAAAGGTGAAAGAAAGGATAGGAATGCTAATACTGTTTTTTTTTTTTTTTAGTTGATGTAGTCAGGTAGTAATAAATTTGGTGAAGCAAGAAGGAAAGGATTAAGTATATTATTTAAAGCTGTAAACTATTCCACAAAACTAAAGGTTAATTCCTGAGCTATGAAACATTGGGAGGGGGGAGATAGGAAGGGAATTCCAAAGGTTGCTTTATCCTCATCTTTCACTTTGGTGTATTGGTAGATAGAGGCGAAGCTGACAAATGAATAGCTAACACATGTAGAATTATAGAAACAATTCAGAAATAACTAGTTTCCTTTGGGCTTAGATCCCTTAAATCTACCACTCCTGTGCCACCACCGTAATTCTACTCTTTTAATTCCCTGTTAAAATGCTTAAGTGTCTCTCCATTCCCAACAGGGTCAGGCCCAAGATCGCTAGTAGGTTAGCTGAAGGTCTTTGGGACTGCCTTAACTAATATCACATCTAACTTAAATTTGCTCACCACTTTTTCTCCTTGGTTATGTATATTTTTGAAGGCACAGAAAGAAGGTGGTCATTTTTCCCGTGTCCTTAGTGGCTAAGTGGACACTCAATACATATTTGTGGAATTGTGTAAAATAGAAATGTTGAATCATGTGATTGCTTTGAATCTGTTTCTCCAGCTAGTCCAGTGTAGACAAACTAGATTAATATAATTCCATTAGACCTAAATATTGTCTAAACTAGAAAAGCCACATATATATTTTAAAATTTTATGCTTGTTTTTAGATGTAAGCTGAGATTTATACTCCATGTACTAGTCACATTATTTTTATCAGAGACTAGAGAAGTTGAAAAAAGAGGTGGAAAGTAAGAAAGGTGACTCTTAATTCCACTTTGCTGGCAATAACACCTATTAAGTTTTTTGATGTATCATTTTTTGCAATATAGTACTCATTTGTGGCTAAAATAAAAGAAAGAGAAGGTGAAAATAACATCCACAATAAGTATATTGGTAAGTATCTAAAGTATACACTAATTTTATATCAATAGATTTTAATCTCTTTTCCCCATCTATTTAGGGATGAGAAAAACCAGAAGAATCAGTGTTGGAAATCTCTCTTCATAGATACTTACTCTGATGTAGGAAGATACATTGACCATTATGCTGCTATTAAAAAGGCCTGGGATGATCTCAAGAAATACTTAGAACCCAGATGTCCTCGGATGGTTTTATCTTTGAAAGGTACTGGGAATGCAATCTCCCTGCCTCCATTTTAGTTACCATGACATAAATAGGTTAGTTTAAATAACTTTGGGTCTCTCTCATTGATGTTAATCTTGGTTGATCCAGCATTATCTGTACCACTCAATTTGCCAAATTACCACCTATATTGCTAAAAAGATCCCTTGAGGTAGTAGCTACCTAATTTTGTGTGAGAACCCACACTTAAGAAAAATTAACTCTTTCATTATTATACTTGTTTTTATATAAAGAAATGTATTGCTAAGATTGCTTAAAGATAACTTGTGACTTATTTTGTATGTGTGTTTTCTTTCTAAAGTGGGTGTTTTGTTGTTTTTGCATAATTGAGAAACTGCCTGCTATTATCAGCTATACTCCTGTTTTTAGTACAAGTGAAAGTTTGCTTGATGGTTTAATATTTGGAAACTGAAGAATTGGATCTTTCGGAATATGAGTAGCATAACAGAGTAAGGAAAACTTTCGTCCCTGCTTTGACATTTATAGAATAGTGAAAAGTAACATTTGAACTGAGGTCTGACTCCTAAAACCTTTGTTCTTGGGTCCTCCCTGGTAGTGCAACAGGTTAGGATGCAGCACTACAAGCTGACCACAGCTGCTTCAGTGTGAGTTCAATCTCCTGCCCTGGAGGTGACCTGCATGGCATGGCAGTCTTCTCCTGACCTGCCCACTGCTCCTCTCAGCAGTGTACTTTGTCAGTCTGCCTGTTCTGCTCCCCACTGTCTCTGGGGAATCCTCTCACTGCCCCTGCACCTCTGGCCTGTACCTGAGTTCTGTATGCATAAAAAAATCAATCTTTGGAAAAAAAGAAATAAAAAAAAAACCTGTGTTCTTTCTGCTACACTATCATTGTCCAATTTTGGCAAGAAATATTAACAAACTAGTTCCCATTAATTTCATTTATTACTTTATGTCCAAGAAAGTGCAGAAATAGATATGTTGCTTTTTATCTGCTTTAGTTTCCATTTCTTCATAAAATGAGTTTTATACAAATTTTGGTATTATTAAGCTGAAATTGGGATCACTTCTCAGATGTATTCCTTTTGTACTAAAGTCTCTTTTGAAACAGCATTCCTTTTACATTTCATAAATTCCTCTAGAAGTTTTCATTCTATACAAATGTGAAATTCATAGAAATCATGATTGTATGACCAGTTACTTAAAACTCAATTGCTCTAAGGTATAAAAAAGAATGACTTGGCAGAGAGGATAGAGCTTTGAAAGAAATAATATTTCAATAATTTTAGTGGTTACTTTTCTAATATCGTACACTTAGTGTAGATTAAATAATTCCAAAAAGAAGATAATTCTGAAAATGAGTGGTGGTGATAATAGTGGTGGTCAGCACTAAGCTAAGTACTATGTATTACTCCATTTAATTCGCCAAAATTCTGTGAGGTACTTAATTACTATTCTCGTTTTATAGGTGAACAGCCTAAGACATAAAAAAACTAAATTATTTGCCATCAAGCAAAAGGCAGAGTCAGGATATAATAATAATTCTGACTCGAAAATTATGCTGACTTTTTTTTTTAAGATTTATTTATTTATGCATACAAGAACTGGGGTATATGCCAGAGTTCTGGTGGGTGAGAGGATTTACCAGAGACAGAGTGGGGAGCAGAACAGGCCGACTGATGAAGTACACTGCTGAGGGGAACAGCGGGCAGGTCAGGAAAGGTCTGTGGCACCATGTAGGTTAGTTTCCTGGCCAGTGTGATTGAACTCCTGCTGCAGTGGCTTCGGAGAGCTTCATAGTGCTTTAACCCATTGCACCAGGGAGGGTTGTAGAATTATGGCCTTAACAGCAGTTAAAAGGAGAAAGAATATTTTGTTTAGAATTTCTTAGATTTTTAGAGAGCTAATCCAATATTAAGGTGTTTGGAATGTGAGAATGTACCAAAGAAGGAAGAAGCTAAGAATACATGGTAGCTTCTCTCTTTTTCTGTTTCTTTGCACTCAACTTGTTATTCCCAGGCTCCTTGCTCACATTCTTTATCTAGTAGTTGAAGGTGAGGTTGTCAAGGAACTCCTGACAGCCTTGTTTTATTTCCAGGTGCCAGTTCTCTTGGACTTTGCCATAAGTTGGGAGTAAGGTAAAGATTGCCATCTATAATAGAATACTGAGTTTTAGGAACCTACATACTCACCTCAGGGACCATAGTCCCTGACTCATTTTCAAAAGTTATAGAAATTACAGAGAAGGAAAACTGAGAGCACTTAGACTTCCTACCAGTTTCTCTAGTGGTGTATTATGTATTTTGAAATGACATGTCTGCCTTATGTGTTGGCTTAGTTTTAGAATTGGAAGGTACCTTAGGGATCATTCTGACCAGGGTTTGGCAAATATTTTTCTTTAAATGACCAGATAGTAAATATATTAGGCTTTGAGAGACAGGTGATATCTGTCACAACTATGCAGCTCTGCTATACTGTAGGAAAGCAGCCACAGACAGTCTGGAAACAAAAGGGTGTGGCAGTGGTCCAAGAAAACTTTACCAGATCAGGCAGTAGGTTGTAGTTTGCCAATCCCTGACTTTATTTTTTACCTCACTGCCCATTTTACAAGTGAAGGAACGTGCTGAGAGAGTTCAGGTGACATAGGCATGTCCTGTAGCTAATAAAGGAGAGAGAGAATTCTAACTTAGATTTCTTGACACCTAGTAACGTTTTCACGCTTCCTCATGTGAGCAGGCTAGAGGGCAAGGGAAGAAAATGAACTTTATTAAACACATGAAGCTTATCTAATCCTTACTAGATTTCTCTCAGGTAAGTGGTATTACCCCCCATTTCTTAGGAGAGGAAACGGGATTAAAGGGACAAAATAATTTACCAGAGATTAATAGCAAGTGGTACAGGTGAGGTTTGAACCTGTTCTGATACCCAAATTCTAATGTAGCAGGATGTCTCTCTAAACCTTGTTTTTACTGTATTATAAACATACATTTCATTCTCTTTTCTCTTTTGCCATGTTTGTTTTTACTTTTTTTTCTGTCTGGCTGTCTCTCCAAGAAATTCTTAGTTTCTTAATGTTTTATGTTAAATGTCTAGTATGTAGCTGTAACTACTTTCCTCATGCAACTTCTGGTTCAGGCGGCCATTCAGCTCGTTCTCTTTTGTATTCAACTTAAAAAAAACTTATATAGTAATTTTAGATTATCAGAAAGTTGCAGACATAGTACAGAGAGTCCCTATATACCCCTCACCCAGTTCCAGTTTCCACTAGTGTATTTCCCTGTGGGACATTTGTCAGAACTAAAGTCTTCATTGGCACATGGCACTAAATTCCAGGCTTTATTTGTATTTCACCAGATTTTCCACAAATGTCCTTTATCCAAACCAGAATACCAAATGGCATCTAGTTGTCTTGTCTCTTAATGTCTCTGGTCTGTGGTAGGTTCTTAGTCTCTGTCTTCCGTAACCTTAACAGTTTGAAGGAGTACTGGTCAGATATTTTGTATACTGCCACTCCACATAATTTTGTCTGAAGTGTTATTCATGATGAGACTATGAGTTTTTAGAAAGATTATCACAAAGGTGAAGTTCCCCTCTCATTACAGGTCTAGGGGTAGGTAATATCTATACATGCTATCACTAGTGATATTAACTAACATGCAGAAACTTGCACAGGTCATAAGTGTGCAACTTAGTGAATCATCACAGTGTGAACATGCCCATGGTAACCCTCCCGATCAAGAAGACCAGTAATTATCTGTACCTAGGAACCTTCCCTCTTTCTGAGGTAACTACTTTCCTGGTTGCTATTGTCACTAAATAGCTTTCTCTCTTTCTGAACTTATATACATTGCATAAGTATGCATTTTGTGTGAATTATTTCTATTTTGTTTATGATATTCAAGTGTGTTATGTGTAACAATAGTTTGTTCATTTTTGTTGCAGTATGGTATTTCATTATATATCACAATGATATATTCTACTGTTGATAGATATTTGGGTTATTTCTAGTTTCTTGGCTATTAGAAATAATGCTGTAAATTTTATATCTCGGATTGTTTGCTAGGTTGTAGAAAATACTTATTTCAAACTTTGAAAGGTAATGTTGATTTTCCAAAGTAGTTCTACCACTTTATACTCCTACCAGCACCTTAATGTTGTCATTCTTTTTATTTCAGTCTTTCTAAGTGGGTTTATAGTGGTGGTTTTAATTTACATTTTCCTGAGGACATATAGTAGTAGTTTTATTTCTAGTATTCTGATCCTTACAAGCCTTTTTTTTTCTTGCTTTACTGCACTAGGGAGGATATTTTGTACAGTATGGCATAGAAAATTTTAGTGAACATCCTTTCTGATAGCAAAATGAAAGCTTTCAGCATTTCTTCTTTAAAGAAGTTGTTTGCTGTAGGTTTTTTTGAGATACCTCTCTATCAAATTGAAGGAAATCCCGTCTGTTTCTACTTTGGGAAAATATTTGCTTTTGTGTTTTAAATAGATAATGGTTATCAAATGCCTTTCCAACTTTGTGATTATCCTGTGATTTTTGTACTTCATTCTGTTAATTTTCGCTGAATTACATTGATTTTTCTGAATGTTAAACCAACTTTGCACTCCTAAAGTAAACTTAACTTTGGTTGTAATTATATTACCCTTTTCATGTATTGTTGGATTTGATTTGCTATTATTTGGTTAGGGTTTTTACATCTGTGTTCATGAGAGAGTTTGGCCTGTAATTTTCCTTTCTTGCAATGTTCTTGTCAGGTTTTGGTATCAAGATGATGCTGACCTTGTAAAGCGAGTTGGGAAGTGTTGCCTCTTTTTCTGTCCCCTGGAAGAGTTTATGTAAGCTTGGTCTTATTTCTTGCTTAAATGATTAGTAGAATGTACCAGTGAAGCCATTCAATCCTGGAGTTCTCATTGTGAGAAGGTTTTTAATTAAGGATTCAATTTCTTTATTAGATGTAGGACTAGTCTTATGTCGTTTTGATTAAGTTATGTTGTTCTGGGAAACTATCCACTTCATTTTTCCAATTTACTGCATTAAGTTTTTCTTAATATTCTCTTATCTTTGTCACTTTTGTTGTATCTATAGTGAGCTCACATTTCCCCTTCTGATAATATGTGTGGTTTCTCTTTGTTATTCCTCATCAGTCTTGCTAGTTAGGGGCCAATTAGTTTTTCAGTCTTTTCAAAGAACTGGCTTTTGCCTTTGTCAGTATCTCTATGTGCATTCCTTATTTCCTTAAATTCTTTTGAATTTACTGACACTTTTTCTTGACTTACGATATTTACTTAAGATCATAAATTTTCAGCCTTTTATTTTTTATGCATTCAGGGTTATAAATTTCCCTCTAAACATAGCATTAGATTGATCACATACATTTTAATATATTTTCATGAACATGCACTTAGAAATATTTTCTGATTTCTTTTTCTTCTTTGACCCATGGGCTATATAGAAATGTATCGTTTTTATTTCCAAACAATTTTTGGTTATCTTTTTGATATAATTTTTATTTTAATTCTGCTTTCGTCAGAAAATAAACTTTATACGAGTTTAGTTATTTAAAATGGTTGTAATTTGTTCTGGGTTTCAACATACAATCTGTCTTGAAAAATGTTCCATATACACTTGAAAACAGTGTTTGTTTTACCATGGTTAGATTTACTACTATGGTAACAAAAATTGTTAATCTCCAGATCTTCTGCACCCTTATTGATTTTTTTTTGGGGGGGGCGGGGGTCTACTCTTCCTGTAGTTATTAGAAGTAGTATGTTAAAATCTCTCACTGTGGTAAGCAAAATTTTGATAGTTCCCAAGATTCCCACCCAGTTGTACATCTCAGTATAATAATATACTGAGTATAACTGTACTGTGGATAAAACTGATTTTAGTCTTATTGTTAGGTCATATTAAATAACAAAGTAAAGAGGGTTGGCAGGTTAGCAGATGTAATAAAGGTCTAAAATTAGTTAAATCTGAATTAACCATTAATAAAAAGGGAAATCATTCTGAGGAGGCTTGACCTAAATATACAAATCCTTAAAAGGAACCCTGCAGGCCCCTCCAGAAGTTGGAGAGGTTTGAAGTAGGGTTATCTCCCCTAGTGACTCTGAAGAAGGAAACTGTCATTTGGGAAGGACTGGAATTATATATTCTCCTGTAACTCCCTTTCTTAACTCTAACTTACCAAGTGAGTACTCCAGAAATTAAGACATCCATCTATGATTTAATTAAAATCTAGTATGTGTTAGTATTTTTACCACTTCTCGGATTTAAAAAAAACTTTAGAATACTTTTAACTCTAATTACCTCTCCCTGTCTTTGTTGTTATGTTATAGTTTTTGTGATTTTAATTGTCAACATATTTTATATCCCTAAAAACATTATTTTACATGTTGATATTATTATTTAGATTTCCCTCCATATTTACCTTTTCTGGTTGCCTTTCATTTCTTCCTGCATCTTCATTCTTCCATTTGTAATAATTTTTCTTTTGCCTAAAGATTTTCTTTTGTAGTTTTCTTTAAATGGGGGAGAGTTTTTCTGAAATTTTTGCCTAAAAACATATTTAATTCATCTTCAGTTTTAATGTACATCGTATAATTCTATAGCCAGTAGATTTTTTCAGCACTTTATAAGATACCATTCTTCTGGCTTCTGTTGTTTCTGTTGAGAATTTAGCAGTTTTCCTGTTATTCCTTTGAGGGCGATTCTGTGCCCTTTCCCCTTTCTAGCTGCTTTTAAGATTTCTCTCTGTCTTTGATTTCAGTGATTTTCCAGTGATGTGTATATATGGGATTTTCTGGTAATTATTCTCCACAGAGTTTATAGTGCTTCTTAAATCTATGGTTTGATGTTTTCGTCAATTTTGGAAAATTCTCTCAAACCTGTGGTACCATGAAAAGTTTTGCTTAACTTTTCAGCCTCCTGTTTACCCCCCTACCTCCCCCTCAAATTCCCCATTTATTGAGGTTCTCCAAAAGCCTTGAAACCAATTTCTCGTTATTTAGTTTTCCTACTTGTTCTCAGTAAGAGGTTTGGTACATTGCTGGAAGTGAGCCCTTCTTTCAGTTTTGTAATTACTCCCCCCTCTTTCAAACTAGAATATATGGCAAACTTGCAAATAAACAAAATTTAAGTTTTAATGGCTCCTCACACATGAACCAACACCTATGTCCTGTATTTCCCTTTAAGATATTTATTCAGACTGTTGTACAACATAGAGAACTTTTTTTATATATACATAACTATATTAGGTTAAGTAAAATTAGATATACCCTAAAATTAGTGTTGTACTGTGAAAGAACTATTGTGGATCTCATCAGTACATACTGTTCCCTATCTTACTTAATGCCAGTGCTTTCTCTGTTGAGAGGAAAGAGGAATTAACTTGCTCAGTACTCTACAGGTCAGAGCCAGTCCAAAATGATGTAACGTTTCTCTGAATTTTCAGTTCATTTTCCTGTATTTCAATGTATTTTGAATACATACACTTGCTTTAATATTGTTTCACTGGTTAGATCATATTTCTTAGATTTAAGGCTTATGGCTTCTTCATATTTTACTCTTCTGTGTGTGAACTGCAGAGGGTGCCCGAGAAGAAGACCTCGATGCTGTGGAAGCTCAAATTGGTTGCAAACTACCTGATGATTATCGATGTTCATATCGCATCCACAATGGACAGAAGTTAGTGGTTCCTGGGTAAGGTGTTCACTGTTTTGGTTATTTTTAATGTACAAGTAATTTTCTAGAATGAAGATAAATTGTATTTGTAGCTACTCTTTTTTTTTTTCTTTTTGTGTAGAAGCACTGGGGTGTAGGTCAGGGGTGCAGGGGGTGGGGGAGAGGATACACCAGAGATTAGAATACGTAACAGAACAGAAGGATTTATTGAAATACACTGCTAAGGGGAGCAGTGGGCAAGACAGGAGAGGTCTGCTGTGCCGTATGTGAGTTAATTCTCTGGCCAGGATCAAACTCAAGCCACAAAGGTGTTAGTGCAGGGACTTAACTGTACGCCACCAGGGAGGCCCTGTAGTTACTCTTAACAGGTTACAGACTTATGAAAATTCCCACTTATACTAATCTACAAGATAAAATATACACCTTAAATTTTATTTTAGCAAAATAAATAGAGCTCATAAGAGCATGTCCACCAAAACATTCTCTTTACTTTAAAATGAAAGCTGGTAAGGAGTGGGAGAGGGGCTGGTTATGAGACAGAGCATTTGTATAGAGGTTACTTTAACTGAAACTGTTCAGAGCTCTTGAAGTGTTTATCCTGTCAGGGGACGGATAAATTGATTTTGGAGAGCTTAATGACAGTTCCATCCACCGCACATGTAAAAAAGCAGTCATTTATTCAGAGTGCTATGCACTAAAGGAAATTTAGTTTTGTCTTATTCAAGTGTAACTGAATGGCCTATTTTAACTAAAAGATGTAATTCATTGTGGAACCTCTTGGTCCACAGTAGCTGTCAAATTCACCCACAGCTTTAAGAGCTATGTGATTTGAATGGGTTGGTGCCTTTTGTTCTTTACGAAATTAAGCTATTTTAGAGACTTTGTACTTGTGAAACCGTAATAAGAAGTCAGGGAGAACTTTGTGTCATTCTTACTGGAACCTGGTGTGTGCAGGTGGGAGTGTGTCTGTATGCAGAACCATATGAGGTGGTATTTTCAGATCAGATTGAGTATAGGGAATCTTGGAGATCATACTATGATTACAAGGTAGTATTCAAATATTAAATATTATATAGTTAGGGCTAGATAAAACATTACTGGCTGTTTTTTTCCCCTAGGCTATTTGCATATCAAATGGAAACATGATAACATTGAAAATTGTCATAGTTCAAGAGCAAACAACAGAGAAGTTTATGAAAAGTTGCCAGAATTAATATAACAAAGAGTTTATGAATTACAACAGAGTAATTTTTATCTTTCCACAGCCTGACTAGTAGGCTTATTATGGTGGGAATCTCATCAAGGGCCGGTGACACCAGGGTCCTTGCGTTCATGCAGTGAGGTGAATTTAGACCACACGCATCCCAAGTTTATGAAAATTTGGAAGAGATTTAGGCCGATTTACATTTATAATGCCTGGTATGATAGAGCAAGTTAAAGGTTGTATCTAGGTAAAGATATCAGAGAATATAAACTTTTAAACAATTATATGTATCTATAGCAAAGCACTGGCAAATCAAGGCAAGATAGACTCAAGAACAATGAAATTATTTTTCTTGTAAATAAAAGGCTGACATTTAGACATTTAAGCTTTTAACTTAAATCAGAACCTTATCACTCAGGAGTTTGAATTTCATATAAATTGTAGTAGTTGGTGTATTAGAATTGACATACTAATCAGTTTTTATAAAGATGTTAGTGTGTAATTTTTCATCAAAAAGATGAAGCACAGCTGTTTGGCATTGCAATTGATTAAGTTTTTGCATTTGTTCTCAGGCTGCTGGGAAGTATGGCGCTGTCTAATCACTACCGTTCTGAGGATTTGTTAGACGTGGACACAGCTGCTGGAGGCTTTCAGCAGAGACAGGGACTGAAATACTGTCTCCCTTTAACATTTTGCATACATACTGGGTTGAGTCAGTACATAGCAGTGGAAGCTGCAGAGGGCCGAAACAAAAATGAAGTTTTCTACCAATGTCCAGTAAGTAGGAAGTTGTTTAAGTGTGACTTTAAAAATGATGCGTTCTGATGAATGTGTAAGTGTGTTATGTTAGGAATTTTAGGTTTGTACAGGTTGTAGAAGATTATAGACCTATCATACTAGAAGGCTAATGTCCCAACATAGTGGCACAGAGTACCCAGAGAGAAGTTGATTAGTGGATCAACTGTGCAAACTATTGTAAATATAAGGGAAAGCTGTTATTTCTGTTAAGGCATTTTAAATTAAAGGAAACTAATTTTAAAATTTAGCTTTTGAATGTTACTTGATTCAAATTGTAAGTGCAGTAGAAACTTCTTACACTTTTCTTCAGTATGTATGAGGTATTGAAAAATCTAGATACTTTTTAGGAGGTCTTATTAGCTAAGATTTTAGTGACAACATTTATGTGGTTTCATTCTTTTTCAGTTCTCAGCAGCTCCTCAATTGCAGAGTCTGCTTATATTTTTGCATAGATGAGCACTTTTAACTCAAAAGAGGAAATGAAAATACCTTTTACAGTTAATGAGCCACGATTATATAACATTTGAAATGTTTAAAGGATTTTTATAGCAATATTTATCTAAATAATCTTTTTTTATTTTCATTTTTGGCTGTTAATTGCTATTAGGTTGTAGGAGTGTGACTAAGTGAATCCATTTACTGAGAAAAGTGGCAAACCTAGGATTGACTGAATATAAAACCTTTTTCCTAGAATAGGCCATATGTTACCTTAACTTTGTTTTATTGAAGTATAATTTTTAGCTTATTGTAATAGTAATAATAGAGCCTTTTAACTTATTGAGAAGTGCCTGTCACTCTTCTAAAGATTGTATGGAAAGACTCTAAATATAGAAATCATTAAGAGCAGGAACAGAAAGTGTAGTAATGACCAGGGATTGGTTAGAATACTTAAATTATTTTTATCTGCTCTGCCATGTCTCCAAATAAGGATACAGATAATGAACAATCAGAAACCAAGTAAAATGTGTTTTCTTTTTTTTCACCTAGGACCAAATGGCTCGGAATCCAGCTGCTATTGACATGTTTATTATAGGTAAAAAGTCTTTCTTTCTACTAATACTTGGTCAAAAAAATTAAGTTAGTAAAAATTTATCATTTCCTTGGCCAGCTAGGCTCTCAAAGACTAAATCCTGTACTTTGTTTGAATTTGGTCTCTGGAAAAAGATGTGCCCTATACTATCTTATGCTATTAGGACTCTACTATAGAACAATAAAATGTATAGAATTGTTATGAGTATGTATATAGTTTCCTCACAAATAACATACACTTTCCATCAATTCTAGCAAGACATAATTGGAGATATAGATATGTAAAACAATTTTTTTTGCATATAAGAACTGGGGTATAGGCCAGAGGTGCAGGGGTGGTGACAGGATTCACCAGAGACAGAGTGGGGAGCAGAACAGGCAGATCTACTGAAATACACTGCTGAGGAGAGCAGCGGGTAAGACAGGAGAGGTCTGCTGCGCCATGTGGGTCAGCTCTCCAGCCAGGGATGGGACTTGTGCCTCAGTGGCTGGTGACAGCTTGATAGCTCTGAGACTTTTGATCCCTGCATCACAGGGAGGCCCACAAATTAAACTTTTTCTCATTTGGTCCCAATGCTATAGTAAAATACTTACATGTATTACTGGAAACCTCAAGACAGCCATTTTCAGAGTTGAGTATACATAAGACTTCATAAACTCTTTAGCACTAGTTTTTATTGGATTTATAAGGATATTTCTCAAAAATTTTGAGGATCACTAATCTGTATACAAGCTCATCTCATCCCTTTGCTATTCATCTAGTCTTATTTAATTCACTTTAAGAAAAACTTTCTTATTATTCATGCCTGCTTTTTTCTATTTTTCTAAAATGCCTGCTTTTTAAAGATATTTCTGACATATATCAAACATCTCTATATAGTAATATCCAGTAGTAAAGGGGCTTTGCAGGCTGAGGTTCCTAATTGGAACTGCAAACAGAGTGTAAGTCTCCATTTGTTCTTTACTGTGACACCTTCCAAGGTTGTGGTATATTTCACAATATCAAGACGCTTTCACGCCTAAGTAGTAAGTGTTAAAAAGCTTTCAAATTTAGTCCATGGCTGATTCACGTGGTCTGTGGTTTCCAGGTATACACCCTCTGGGGATTTTGCCCCTGCTCATTGCCTCTGCTCTTTGTCCTCCCTTAGCACATACTTTCAGAGATAATCATTATGGCTCCAGTACACTGGTGTTCCTCTTGATATACTGGAACGCTGCCTGAGCTCACAGATAAGCTGCTGGTTAGACTCTGTGAGTTTCTTACCCTCAATTTGGTGTTGGTCTGACTTGATACGGAATGGATACAACTATTGCAGGGGGCAAAGGTAGATAATAACGCTCTGGAGTTGGAGGAAAAGCAAAAGATTTGAAATACACTGAGAAGAGATCAAGGGAGCAGTTAGCACTGGGAGGAAAAAGAGAAAACGGTTCCCTTGGTTAAACCTCAATACCACCAAAGAAATTCCAAGTTACAGAGTTTCTACCTTAGAATGTTTACATTATAATCTTGACTTGGCTAAGTTTGACTTTTTTAGAACTTTTGATAAAACAGAAGACAGAATCACCTGGTGATAGTGCCTTATTAGTAGATATTTAAGAAAACTGGAATCTATGTTCAGATAAAGTTTAGTAGTGAAAGTTTCAAATAAATTTTATCTTAATATATTTATTTAATGCAGTATATTAAAAATGTTTAAACATGTGACAATAGCCACATTTCATGTGCTCAGTGACCATGTGTGGCCAGTGGGTACCAAACTGGATAGTGCAGACCTGGGCTGACTGTTTTACTTCATGCTAGAACTTTTCTATCTTTTGCTTATCATTTTTCCCATTTTTATGGAAATATAATTGACATACATCACTGTATACAAGGTGTATAGCTCTTTATCTAAGAACTCTTAGGATTCATATTGTAACAACTTTATATATGTGTGTGTATCGTAAAACAGCGGTAACTATTCATCATGTGGTATATTACATCTTAAAGAACTTGTTTTGATATATAGTAAAGTAAGGTGTATTAAAATGCACTATGTGAATTTCCTTTTTTGTAAGCTATAAAATTTTTTTTCATATACTGTTTTATTCCATAAAATATATAGGGAATTGTTTTCTATAGGCTCTTTTAATATCGTACCCAAAGTAGATAGAAACAAGTGATCATTTGTATGCAATAGCATTTAATGAATAAAGGGTCAGAATGGGCCATTCCTGAATCAGCTTATAATCTACTTTCTTTCAAGTTATACTTCTATTTATTTATTTAAGATTTATTTATTTATGCATACAAGAACTAGGGTACAGGCTAAAGGCATAAGGGATCAGAGGATTCACTAGAGACAGAGTGGGGAGCAGCGGGCAAAATAGGAGAGGTCTGCTGCACCAAATGGGTCACCTTCCTAGCTAAGGGTTGTTCGTGCTGCAGTGACTGCAGATAACTATATAGTGCTGCGCTTTAACCTGTTGCACCACCAGGGAGGGCCCTCAAGTGATGCTTTAAAATTTTTAAAGTTGCGTACTCTCACACTCCAGCTTAAATTCTATTTTCTTTGAAGATCTATTTTTAATTTTTTATGCACATAGAACTTGGATATAGGCCAGAGGTGCAGGAAGGGGTGTGTGGGAAAGGATTCACCAAACTGAACATTAGTTAAGGGGCTAGTACGTGTTAGGCACTGAAATGTATTAATAGTAGATAGTCGGGGTCTGAGGAAGTTATATTATATTGTGGGAGGTGCAAAATAATTCCTGTATTTTGAGTATTTTTTTGAGTATTTGATCAAGTATTTTCATCAATTCATACTTGTTATTGATCTAGTCACTAACTAGATCGTGGATATATGGTCTAAACTAGTGGTCTAGACTGTTCTAGTCATTCCTTTCTGCTTTGAGCTAGTCACTGACAATATGTAGGGCCTCTGCCCTCTGTGCATTTGAATATATACTGATGCAACAGGACTACTTTGGGATTGGCCTGATGCCCAGAACGCCAAAGTGCCATACCCCCGTTAGCTATCCAGACTGAGTCTGGCTTCTGCCAGAATTTTGTTTATGATTCAGGATGTACCAGGACCAGGGACATACCCAGGTTTTCTGAGAATAAGTGCTGATATATTTCCTTGGCATAGATGTATCTCTTTTGTTCTGTGGTTTTAGAAATTATAGAATAGTGCTTACATTACTGTAGCAGACAAATTAAAAATTTCTAATTGGGCCCTCCCTGGTGGTGCAGCAGGTTGGAGCACTGCACTGCGAAGCTAAGCCAAGCCCTGGCCACTTTAGTACAAGTTCGATCCCCAGCCCCGGAGGTGATTCACAGGATGCAGCAGACCTCTCCTGTTTTACCCACTGCGCTCTTCAGCAGTTTACTTTGTCCATCTGCCTGTTCTGCTCTCCACTCTGTTTCTGTGAATCCTCTTGCCACCTCTGCACGTCTGGCCTGTACCCCATTTCTGTATGAGTAAATAAATAAAATCTTAAAAACAAAATTTCTGATCTATTATAAGTGTAAAAAAAATTAAGTATGAAAAGTATTGTGGGGCCCTCCCCGGTGACACAACAGGTTAAAGCCCAGCACTATGAAGCTATCGCAGCCACTGCAGCAGGAGCTCAAGCCCCAGTCGGGGAGCTGAGCCACATGGCGAGGCAGACCTCTCCTGTTCCACCCACTGTTCCCCTCAGCAGTGCATTTCAGTACATCTTCCTGTTCTGCTCCCCACTCTGTCTCTGGTGAATCCTCTTACCAGATACCCCAATTCTGTATGCATAAATAAATAAATCTTAAAAAAATAAGTACTTTGAAGGTAGTTGGATTGCCTAGCAAGTTGGTTGTCAATTAGATAGAATTGAAAATAGAAATTGATCTGATAAAGGGCTAACAGAACTACCTGTAAGTATTTCTAGTTTTAGTATCACATCTTAAGTATAGACAATTCTAATGATTTTGCCTTGTCTCCTGAATAGGCTTTACAAAAATAATTTGTCTTTTTTCTCCCCTTCCTGGTTTACAGGTGCTACTTTTACTGATTGGTTTACTTCTTACGTCAACAATGTCGTATCAGGTGGCTTTCCTATCATCAGAGACCAAATTTTCAGGTATTTTACTAGGGGTTTTGGATAAATCAGAAAAACTATCAGATTTTTTTCTGATCCACATCAGAGATAAAATTTATTCTCTTTGAAGCCCAAATATACAAATAATTGGTCAGTATTTTTCTTACCTTGAAGAAGAGAAAAAACTGATTTTGAGTTAGCAGGTATGGCTTTATGGTAGTTATATACTTTCTTTTTGGGGAAAAAAAAAGCTATTTACGAATTAGTAGATTTACTGAAGCAAGTTACTCATTAACTGTTACTCCTGGCAAATATTATTCTATTCTATAATATTTAACTGGGACATGCAAATATTAGCTGTAATATAGGTTCACAGTGTTCTGGTTGGCAAAAATGATAGATTAATTATACATTATAGGCCTTTAGAATAGCTAAAAATGTATCTTTATTGTCAAAGCCACTGTGTATAGCTCAATTTTCAGATATTCCTGGTTTTCAAATGTCCCAGAAGTTTCCTTAACTTTGAAAGTGGAATGAACTCTTCATTTCCATATTAAGTACTGATCTATTATTTATTTAAACCACTGGTCATTGAACATTGACTTCTGTTATTGCTGACCCAGATTCTTCAAGGTTTTCCACTTTGTAACTTCTAGTTTTCCAAGCTTATTAGGAATATACTTTGAGGATCTCAAATGGGATTTAAGATTCTTATCCTAAAATAAAATACAAACTATTTTGTACTGTATTTTAAAATCTTTTTTAAAGAATTAAACTTAGTTGATTAAAAATGTTTCATTTTTTAAATTACCTTAGATATGTTCATGATCCAGAGTGTGTAGCAACAACTGGGGATATTACAGTTTCAGTTTCCACATCATTCCTGCCTGAACTGAGCTCTGTGCATCCACCCCACTATTTCTTCACATACCGAATCAGGTGAGAATTTTCCATGGGATGACCTGTCAATTAATAGTGGGCTATATCCTAGGGATGTGTTGTTGCTTATTTGAAATGACATTTAAAATACATTTTGAAAGGGAGCTTCTTGCTGAAGTATGGAGGAAGGTGAACAATGACATTTTCTACATAAGATATAAAGTACGTTGAGTTTATATTAACCTTTAAGATTGATTTCTTTCAATAAACTAAAGTATTGTTCCAGGTATAAGTGATACAGCTAAGTTATAGTCATCGTGAAAGTTCTATATTAGAGTTGCAGTGCATTAGAGAAGTTGCCCAATTGCCTTAGATAAAGCCAGGCAGTTTATATTCTGGCCTGTCTCTATTCAGTTAAAAGTCTCAGAAATAATTGAGCACTGTTTGTATATTAGACCTGACACTAAACATTGGATTTGGTTAAATAAACAAATACTAGTAAGGACTCTTTATTTAGAGAATAACTTGCTACAACATCAGGTCAACTCATTGCT